TACTCTAGGATATGACACTTTTTAAATATTTCCGAATTTCAATTTTAATTTAATCAAAATCGGACGACTATATCATATAGCTGCCATAGGAACGATCGGAAAATTAATGGAAAAGTAATAGGAAATAAATTCTAGCTTCTTTGGTTTTTATTGTATTATCTTCTACTCTAGGATATGACTCTTTTTAAATATTTTCGAATTTCAATTTTAATTTGATCAAAATCGGACGACTATATCATATAGCTGCCATAGGAACGATCGGAAAATTAATGAGAAATATTAGAAAATTGAACATTTTTGCGATTTGTTAATTAATAGGAATGATCTGCAAGGGTATATAAGCTTCGGCTGGCCGAAGCTAGCTTCCTTTCTTGTTTTATATATCTTTAAATATTCCTATGGGAGCCTTAAGATATAGTGGTCCGATTCGGCTCGCTCCGACATATGTACTACCTGCAATAGAAAGAAGACTTTCGGGAAAGTTTCATCGCGATATCTTTAAAACTGAGAGACTAGTTCGCATAGAAACGGACAGACGGACAGACGGACCGACGGACAGACGGACAGACGGACATGGCTAGATCGACTCGTCTAGTGATGCTGATCAAGAATATATATACTTTATGTGGTCGGAAACGTCTCCTTCACTGCGTTGCAAACATCTGACTGAAATTATAATACCCTCTACAAGGGTATAATGAATGTGCCTCCATCGCGAAAGGCTCGAATGACAAATGGGGATCTAAGCTCCAGTCTGGCTCGCAGTCTCAGTCGCAGTCTGTCTGCCCCAGACATGTGGCTTTAATTTCCCAAAGTGGCGCATTAAATTGCTTTAAGCGAGGACTAAGCTTTTGTCCATCCCAGTTGTCAACATCAACATATCGCACATATTGCGTACATATAGCCCGCATAAACGGCCCGCGAAAGTGTGCTACAATTTTATTTCCCGGCATCCTTTTTATTATTATAGTGGTAGTGTACATATGTATGTTCTGTGACTGTTTCAACGTTTATTTAAGCACGCTCACGAACGCCTGCCCACTTGTTTGACTTGTTTGTGTAGCTTTTAGAAATTGTGTGTGCTTTGTAAATACCCTCTTCGGTGGATACCCTCATTTTGATCTACAACTTGCATTCAGATATTGAACATTTTCCCAAAAAAAAATAAAGAACTAAAAGGAGAAAACAAAGCCAATCAGATCAGATTTTTCTATAAGCTGGCCACCAGACAGAAGGCAATTTGTGTGAATTTGCAAGAGCCAGCCGATTGTCCTGCAATCCACAATCCAAACCCGTTTGTTTGCCGCACTTAGATTCAGAGTCCTTGGCAAACAGGAATAACTGGAAAAACTGGGAAAACTGGAAAAACAGGCAAAACAGCAGGCTAAAAAGGGACTCCCTTCGCCGGGCTTTTCCGCAGGCTGTTGCATTACGCATAAAGTGCATGATTTCATATTTATTTGTTGTTCGCTACCCCGGACCCAGTTTTGTTTTCATTGCTGCGGTTTTCCTTTTGACAGCGGTTTATGGTTGCGAATTCCTTGTCTCCGCCAATTCAAAATGATTTTTATGGCATTTCTGTCAGACGAGAGCGACTCCTATGCCAACAAAAATGGGGACACTTGCAGGGCACGCCAATGGCCCGAAGGTTATTTCCCATAATAGAAAAAGTTTCTCGATACGGACTGGGTAAAATTGAACTAAAACTTTTGCGAAAAAGTCGTGCGTAGCCAATCATTCAAAATATAATTTTACAGCTCTTTTACAGTGCAATTTTATAGGTAAGGGAGGAGGGCAAAATACTAAAGGAAATGAAATGGGACTACGTCATTTTGAAATGACATATCAGCTATCTGGTTAATACAAAGTCAGAGCTATAAAGGTTTGGAGTAGAGCTTTAATATTATAATTATCGATATTTTCGATATTTTGACAATATCGATTCGATAATATCTATGTTTGGAAAGGAAAGCACAAATCAAATATCGAGATTCCCTTACAGGAAGCCTTTAAATTTGCATCTTTAAATCCCTCTGGTTTTTAGTAGTTCGGGCTTAAAAATAAAAACATTTTGTGGCCTGAGGCTTAGAATCGATTTCTCACTCGAGTTTCCCTTTCACTCAGTTATAACGATGTTTTAAATATATTTTCCCCCTTTTTTCGCAGATTTTGGGAAACAGATCTTCGCACCGTTCGCAAAACGAATCGCTCAACAATGCGGCATCCTCGCAGCCGAAGCTCGATGGCCGGAGGTCCTGGAGGGATGGGAACCGTCAGGGGTATGGACAAGTTCAGCGGGTGAGTGAATGTATATACAGTATGCAGATGGGGGAAGGTAAGGGGAGAGCTCTTGCGAGACCGACTGCCCCTGAACCAATTCTCATATTTCCCATATCCTTTACAATTCCGTTTTGTTGAATAATTGAGCCCGGCCGTGTGTTCTGTGTGTTGTGAGTTGTGTGTGCGTGGCCCCGAACCCATTCTCATGAACACGTCCTGGGGGCAAGTCAATTTACTCCCAACATTTGTCTGGGCCAAATGCTTGAACGCAATCTGAAAAGGTAAATAATGAAGGTATTTATGTCGCCAGAATGCGAGTGGGAGTCCTAGTCCATAAATAAGTATGGTGCAGCACATTCTGTGAAATATGTATCGCATAATTGAAATCATTGCCAAGTATTTATGGCGGTCTTAGGCCAAAGCTGAACAAGAAAAAGAAACAAATGGTTATAAAATATGGAAAAAAGTATACAAATAAAGTCAAGCGGAAAGTTGGAACCGAACCAAGTAGCTGATATCCGGAAAATCCGCTTTAAATTTTTATTTTCCCCACTTTTAAATAAAACGTATACTTGTGAATAAATTAACAGCAGCCGAATCGATATGTATAAACACGGCATCTCTAATTTAGTTTGCCCCAGAGGCAAATTGAAAACGAGCATTCTCTGTAAATGACTCTAAAATAAACATTTTAATACCTGAAAAGGCGAAAGGCAAAAAAAAGAACAAACTACACGTTGTGATGGACATTATAACAATGCAAATTCATGCAACAAATTAACACACAGCTGTAAGCTTTTTAATTTAGCACAAAATGCCGGCACCATTTGTTTACACGAAACTAACAAAAAACCATAAATGTTTTTGGTAGAGGCCACTTTGTTTCCGCCCCGACGCGTCATTCAAAGTTCACGGCATTGTTGCATAAAATTAACACCCACCCCGTATCCCCCAACTTTCCACACCCAGAGGCGCCCACTATCACGGACTGGACGAGAGGGACGCCCAGATGGACAGCGCTTTGGAAAGGGCTTTGGCCCAGGCCGAGAACGACGCCACTTTCAAGAAGGTCAAGCGGATGAGCTACTCGAGCAACGCGGCTGGGGAGGTGAGTTAAAATTAGATGAATGAGATTAAGATTACATTTAACTTACATAGAAAACGGTAACTATTTGTGTTTGCCTTTTCTGAAATTTGTATTGCAAATAGACATAAGAATTAATCGCATGAATGGAGCTTGTCAAATATTTTGCTTGAATTTAGCCCAATATTACCAACAATAGGCCAATGGGCCATCATAACAGCTGTGCACACTGCAAATCGGTATCAATCGGATCGAAAGTGGCTATATAAGCGGCGGATCTGGCAGCAAGAGATTATCATTCGGCATCCGAAAGCATCCAGAGCAATATGAGTAACTCATTGGTGATAGTCGGCTGCCTGCTGGTGACCCTCTTCGTGGCCCATCTCCCTGCTGGCCAGGCAGTCACCTGTGCCGACGATCCCAGTGATGCGGCCTGCATCGATTGCACGGACACTGCGAATGCGAGCAACGCCGAGTGCACCGCCACCACGGTGGCTCCCGATGCCGCGACACCCGCCGCCGAGGAAACCACCGCCGCCGAAACAACCACCGCTGCCACTGCCGCCGGAGACTCCACTACTGCCGCCTCCGCCACGGACACAACCACAGCGTCCTCGGCATCGGGCACTTCCAGGAAGAGGGTCAAGAGGACCTTCAAGCGGAAGATCAAGCGGGCCAACAAGATCAAGAAGACGAGGCGCAGCAGGAACAGGAACAGGAACAACCGCAGCAGGAATAACTCTGGTTAAGCCACCACCACTTTCAGCCACAGAAGGACGATGAAAAGATCACGACACGAAAAAGCCAACCCTTATACTCCTAACCTATAAAATTAACTAGTTTTAAGAAAATAAATAAATTGGAAATTGGGACCATATACAAAATTCTCTTCTTTTCTAATCCTTTCGACAAAATATCTTCTTTAAAAAAAAACTTTTAACTGTCTAATTAAAGAAAAATAGCAAATATAAACAAAACCAGGAATATTAAAGAGATAACTTCATTTAATTTTTATAATTTATAGTTACACAAATGGTACATAAATGTTTTTGATATTAAATAATGCCAGTACTGGAGCTTGTAGAACTAAGTGCGGTATCTTAGAAATTCATTATTATAATTGCATACCAGAATAGAAGAATTTTCTGAATATTCCTAGGACAGCTCTATTAAATGCAAAACTCCGAAGTATACAAACAAAAACATTCCCATGCATTGGTTGTATGTCAAAAAACACAGAAGCTATATTTTTTTCATTTTTGTTACTTTCGTCATTCCTAAAGGATCTATGTCCGTTTTGGTTCCTGGTTTCGACTTATGTATATATTACCTAAAACTATTTTTTATCCCAATAAAATCATTACATTCTCAGAGAGGTTAAAGTATACCTAAATTTTGCCTCATTCCTAGTTTGGTTTGTATTTGGTATTTATCTTTAATTAGACAATTAAAAGTTTTTTTAAAGAAGATATTTTGTTGAAAGGATCAGAAAAGAAAAGAATGTGAAATATGGGCCCAATTTTCAAATTATTTATTTTCTTAAAACTAGTTAATTTTATAGGTTAAGAGTATAAGGGTTGGCTTTTTCGTGTCGTGATCTTTTCATCGTCCTTCTGTGGCAGAAAGTGGTGTTTGCTTAACCAGAGTTACTCCTGCTGCGGTTGTTCCTGTTCCTGTTCCTGCTGCGCCTCGTCTTCTTGATCTTGTTGGCCCGCTTGATCTTCCGCTTGAAGGTCCTCTTGACCCTTTTCCTGGAAGTGCCCGATGCCGAGGACGCTGTGGTTGTGTCCGTGGCGGAGGCGGCAGTAGTGGAGTCTCCGGCGGCAGTGGCAGCGGTGGTTGTCTCGGCGGCGGTGGTTTCCTCGGCGGCGGGTGTCGCGGCATCGGGAGCCACCGTGGTGGCGGTGCACTCGGCGTTGCTCGCATTCGCAGTGTCCGTGCAATCGATGCAGGCCGCATCACTGGGATCGTCGGCACAGGTGACTGCCTGGCCAGCAGGGAGATGGGCCACGAAGAGGGTCACCAGCAGGCAGCCGACTATCACCAATGAGTTACTCATATTGCTCTGGATGCTTTCGGATGCCGAATGATAATCTCTTGCTGCCAGATCCCCCGCTTATATAGCCACTTTCGATCCGATTGATACCGATTCGCAGTGTGCACAGCTGCTTTCGACTGCTTTTCGCCACTCTATCAGTGTTTGATGGCCCATTGTTGGCAATATTGGGCCTAGCTTCCAGCAAAATATTTGGCAAGTTTCATTCATCAATGAATGCGATGGGCAAATGCCGTTGTGGAACAAGAAGCATATATTTACTCAGTTGACACAACACTCTGTTTACCTAGCATCCATCGATTTTTGAAGATTAAAAAATGTCAGACGCACCTGTTTGGGCTTTTGTTCCCAGCAGCGGCATATATTTACTTTAATAAACTAGTTTCCTATCGCTTTTCGGGCAATTAAATTCCCTCCAATGCCACAATACAAGCTTCGGGGCCAGGAAGTGTCTTCAAACTGCATTTCTCATGACCCACTGGGCGGAGGTCCTGCGGCAAACAGCATTTAAGCTTAATTACTGGCAATTATTCGGCGGAGACGAGGGCAGAAAGCAGACGTTGGCGGTGGCCAACTGACCTCAATCATTAGTTGATAAGCCCTGCGAGGCGGACAAGAAAGTGCACGGATGCCCAGCCGAGGAAAAAGTGGCGGCCAAACGATGCGACAATAAACCAAGTTGGGAAGATCATAAATCAAGGCAACATGCAGCGGAGGACAGCAAAGGGGTCGGGGTCACTTGGGGCAGCTAAAAGAAGAGCAAAAAGCAACAAAGGCAGCAGGGCCACAACTGAGTAGTTGAAAATCATGTAAGATTTATAGTTAAGCCAGCTGAACCTGTTGCGAACCGGAGACCAAAGACGAAAATAAACTCCAGTCGGTTTTTATGCACTAGATGAAAGTACATAGAAAGTATACCCACTGGGAGATATCGACAAAAACCTTAGCAGGTTGCAGCTTCTTAGACCTTGTCATTGGGTTTTATGTTTTTCGGCTTTTGAGCAGGAAAGACGTACTTAGCCAAGATCTGCATGTCCCATCACCTGGCTGCCATCCGCTAATGACGCTTAATCATAGGGCCCGCTGGCAAAAACTTTCTTAATTTCCTGTTTAAGGAGCGCAGACGAGCGGCAGAGCGGCAGAGCAGCTTCAATTAAAACTCGCCGCCAAGAAGCATTCAAAAGCCATCCAAGCGTCGATTGCCACAAATCAACTTCTACATTAATTCGTTTCCAGGCGGCAAAGGGGTGGAGCTTGGGTTTCAGGCCGAGAAACTCGAGTGGCTGGCAAACTGACATGCTCCAAATATTTCGAGAGACAGCCGCCAAATAGCCGAGTGGCATGCAAAACAAACTTGCAAAGCCTACGACCACGCCCTCCGCCTCGCCAGCTTGTAATCAGTTTAAAGTGAGTCCTGGCCACTAAAACTCAATTAACCCCATTTGAATGGAGCACGAGGCAATTGAAAAAACACAGAAACATGAAATGAAAACGAAAATGGAAATACGAAAAACGAAAACGGAGAGAAGCGAGCAAATCAAGGCAAAAGATTAAAAACGGAAATGGTTGGCCATTGAGTATGGTGGTTGGATGGAATGGAATGGAATGGATGGGTTGCCAGGGTTGCCAGGGGTGGCCAAAGGTTGGCAGCATTTTTCACTTAAAACCGCATTGATACTCAATTACCAGGTCGTCCAGGCAGTCGACTCCCCAACTTGGACAAAACAAACGGCAAGCGGCGGATGCGGAGCTCAGGAAAACGGAAGCACTTTGCAACGGAAATGAAACATCAATTAAAGTCTCCACGCCAGCGGATCCGTCGAAGAAGAACCCTGGGTGCCTGGAAACTCTGGTTCCTTGACAGCCAGTCAGCCTCCTCTGCCGAGAACACATTGCCTTCGCCTTTCCTTCAGTGCAGCCCTTCGAAACTTGGAAATTGCTCGCTTGCCACAAGGCCTAAGGGCATATTTCGTTAGTTTTTATTGCTTAATTCACTCATAGAAATTTTCCGGTAAAATCGCCCTAAAAACAAGGAAAATCGCCCTAAAACGGGGGTCAATGGCGACTAGGCAACAAAATTAGGGCAAATTGCCCTAAAAATACGGGTGAATTTGTCACACATTTAGGGCGATTTTTCGTAGATCTAGGGCGATTTTTCTATTTTCAAAGCTAATTGCCCTAAAAATAGGAAATGAGACCCTTAAACTAAAGGCAGTTTCCTTTAAATCCAGGGCGATTTTTCTGGACTTATAGGCGAATTGCCCTGGAAATCGGAAAAAATACCTTTAAACTAAAGGCAGATTTTCATAAATCTAGGGTGTTTTTCTGGATTTTAGGGCAAATTGCCCTAGAAATATGAAAAAATATCCTGAAACTAAAGGCAGATTTTTATAAATTTAGGGCGTTTTTCTGGATTTATAGGCGAATTGCCCTAAAAAAAAGCAAAGTGCTCCCCAAAATTTCCCGGTTTTTTTTTATAAATAAAAATACGATTTCATTATATTTTTTTTGTTTTTTTTTTATATTTTTGTTTGTTGTTATTTACACAATTTCTAATTATATACATTAACATACTTTTCTACTTATTCTTATTGCTAAAAGAATTACATCGATCGTAAAAATAATGTTTTGGCTTAATGTATTTTTTGGTCTTTAGGTTGTGTGCTTCCGCCGGAGGGAATTTTAGGTCTTTTAAGGTTTATTACAATAAGTACTGATAGAAATAATATTTTTTTTTGGAATGAACAGATTGTTTCTTTAAAATAGTTACAGTTTTAAGGTTTTATAATCCTCCAAGAGTTCGGATAAAGCTTTACCATTCTTATCAGACTCTAAATGAATTTCATAAAACATTTTTTGGATAAATGTCGTGGTTTAAAACAAAAAATATTTTGAAGCACACATCAATACTTTTCAATAAGGTTCGCATTCTATAAAAAAACCTCTGATAGGTAAACTGGAAATTCACCAAGGTCAAAAAGGGCTTGTTCCCACGTTGCAGCTGAATGGTTGCAGTTTCGGCTTTCCGGATTAGCAATTTTCCGTCAATGCCTTTAGATGTGTTTGCAGTTCCCCAACAGTAGCCTTCCAAACCAAGAAACGGCTTCGCGAGTCCGCAATGGTGTGCTTCGCGTTCTTGCTCCCGCCGTCCTTCTTTGTCATTGCTGTCGCACCAACACTGAATGGATCGCAAGCCAAATTAAAGTTGATTGTATCTCTATTAAATAAAAACAGTCTATTTATTGAATGAGAAAAGAAAAAGAGAAAAAGCACATACCTTCAGCGTGGCTTTCCAAAGATTTGAGCAGTTTTATTCCCTTACTTTCGCTTTTAAAAAGTGCGAAAAGTGGTTTGCGGAAGCTGGATCTCAAAGACGTTCTCAATCTAAAACAAGAAAAAAAATTGTTAGAAATTAATATAAAAATGCACTACTAATGCGGTTATTCCACTACATTGGTCGGCTCATTCATTAGAACAATTTTTTCTCAGCCTATACGATTTTACGTAGGTGCGAGCAAGACAGATATATGTCAGCTGCAATGAGCAATTAATGAGCAAAATTTTAAAAACCGAAGGCCACCATTTTATTTTTTTTTGTATGAGCAAAATTGAATCTAAAAAGTACAATTTTGCTCATTTATTAGAGCTACTGTAAATCGGATCTTGCTCGCACCTACGTAAAATCGTATGGGCTGAGAAAAAATTGTACTAATGAATGATCCGAACGATGTAGTGGAATAACCGCATAACAGTCAGAATTTTCATTTAGCCTGCGATTGCGTTTGCTGCTACTTCTGGAAAAAAAGAAGCAACAAAAGCAAATTTCGGTTACTGACGAAATGACGCAATAGAAATATGGGGGTTATTTTGGCATATGCACTTGTGAATGCGGTTTGTTCGGTGCATAAATACAGATTTCTTGTAAATATATACATATGTATGTGTGTATTCTGTTGCATCATCTTTTTAACTCAAGCATTATTTACATATACACATACATATATGTATACTCTTATTAATGATCTTACTTTGTTTTGCCACACTTCCAAAACTTCCGCTTCTGGACCGTCTAGTTGAACAGGAATTTCTCCTCGTAGCTGCTTCCAGTCAATTTTTTTAAAGTTTCAGCTGCATTTTCCTTTGTTACAGATATGTAAATTCAATTAGTTATTAATATCCAAATTGCACAATTATATGTATGTATGTACTCACCAGAAAACAGAGAAAGAATCGCCTCCCAAGTCCTTTAATAGCGTTTACATTTTTCACTTTTTCACAAACAAAAGGTTTCACACAAACACGTCTTTCACTGCCAATCGCCCGAAAAATTGTGACAAATGCAACTCTTTCTACCCCCACCCTTGCCACTGCAACGGACGAAAAGAAGCGAAGAAGAAGAAAAAGGGTGGACTTCTCTAAAGTCAAATGCGCTCAGCATCAAAATTCATAGAAAAAGGTCCGCCCTAATATACACACACATTCACTTGTTTTGACCTGCCAACCACACACACATACACACATATTACATATGTATCCATTAATTGCGTCTTAGAATTTCGTTTGACTCTTCCTTGTTTTTAGGGCAATTTCAGAACATATTTTTGGCTATTTTGTTCTGCGTTTTAGGGCGATTTCGCCCTAAAAAGAAGGAATTACTTTTGGAGTCGACTCATAAAAATTCGCCCTAAAAAACAGGGCAAATGTGGCGTTTTGGAAAAACTAACCCTAAAAAATATTTTCAATGGCGATTTTTCGTATATTTAGGGTTAGCCACCCGTATAATAAGAAAATTTTTCGTAGTTTTAGGGCGACCTCGGTTTTAGGGCGACTTTTCTAGTATTTAGGTAAAAATTTCTATGAGTGTTGTAATTTCGCATATGGGAAACGGAAAGTTTAATTGGCTGCGCTGAAGTATCTGTCTCGGAGCCTCCCGCAGCCAATTTATTGGGAAGGGAGTTGTGGTTGCACAAAGAAGTTGCCACAATTGTAAACTAATTGGACGCGGGGCAAAGATTCTCTTAGTTTTGTTATACAATTTTAGGATATTTAACAATTTTAAGGATGCTTCAAGGCATTTAAGACACACCTTGAGGAACTTTCAGGTACAAAATTGCCTTTATTCTCTGCGTATAGATAAAGGCTTAATTATTATCACTCATACGCACTGTTGTATTTAATAAATTAAAAACTTGAAGATCAAAGCTTTAAAAACAGTGTGCTACGCCCATACATACAAATACAATATTTTTACACATTGAATATTAAAATTTACCATTTTAAATTAACAGTGATATATAAATTCTATTTTTTGGACCACAATTCATAAATGAATTAATCGAAAAATGATTGAACAAAAATTTTCCTATTAACAAAATATTGATTTTATCAATGGATTTTTAATTAATTGCAGTTAACCGAACGCCTGGCCAAGATTGCCGGACTCAATCGCCTCAAGGCAGAAGGCGATCCGGGGCAAACGAGCTCGGGCAGTCTGTCCGGCAGCCGGATGAACTCCATTCCCAACTCGCAGCTCCAGAACGTGGACCTTAAGGCGCTGGACAAGCTGGTGAGCAATCTGCTGGAGCAGCACACAGCCGGCGGCAAGGGAGTGGGCTCCCTCAACCCGGAAACGGGCACCCGCACTCCGCCGCTGCAGCGGATGGCCTCCAAGAAGCTCAACCGCTGGCGACCCCTCTCCCGATCCGCCCACAGCTACAAGCGCCACGAGAGCAGCGACCTCATCGGCGGCAGCTTCACCCAGCTGATGGAGCGGGTCGATCCGCCGGCCACGTCCGCCCAGCATCAGCCCAACATGCCCACGATCATGGAGAGCAGCGCCGGCAGTCCCGTCAGTCCAACTCCTACCCAGAACAATGCGCAACAGCAGGCGGGTCATCCGCCCATGTGGACTGCCTCCCTGGACGCCACTCCGGGTGCCGTGCGAAATGTACTCCACGCCATCGGTGGAGCAGCCGCTGGTGCACGTTCGGAACCCGAGGATCAGCTAAACTTGACACACAATTATGTGGGATAGGACGATTTACCCATTTTTTACTTCTTTTGGAAAACAATATTTTTTAAATTTTAAAGAAATGTTATTTAGATCTTATTTTAAAATGTATTTGCAGTATAAATATACCTGCTACAAAAAAAGAGTTTTCTTTGGGTAATAAGATTAAATTTAATTTTCTGTATACTTATAGGAAAATTTAAGTCTCTGCTTCTATTACTAAAAATCTACATTCAACTTCTATCATTTTCGAATCCTCTAGTATATTATGTTCTTAAATCCTCTTCTCTTCGAGGTTACCTATTTCTTGTAAATTTTAAAATGGTTTGCTATAAATCGAAATCGAATCCTCTACTATATTATGTTCTTAAATCCTCATCTCTTCGAGGTTACCTATTTCTTGTAAATTTTAAAATGGTTTGTTATAAATTTAATCTTGTTTAGACAAATACACCATCTAGCTTATTTGAAAAGCAATTATACCCAAGCAATTGTAGGATGAAGAGCCTATTTAACTTACCTGTCTTTCCATAACGCCCGACAACTGTTCCCGGTCAGCATGTCGATAATATCCCGTAAGATTGGCGCCCAGTCGCATGGTCACCTCGTATCGAGTTTTGCCACTGCGTGCCGAATTCCGGTTACTTTTGAGGGCCGAATAACTCTGGGCAGCTGGGGAACCGGAACTCCGGAAGTTGTCAAAGTCGCAGGCCTGATGGCATTCAATGGAGTTGCTGCTGTTGCTGGTGCAGCCTGAAAGGAGAGGATGACAAACATATCGTAATTGCTTCCATTAAAGGTCGAGTATTCTGGGGAATATCCTTGAGAACATGAAAGTGTGTGGCTGTAGAGCAACACCTGGGGTCACATTAACCCACTGCTCGGGATCTGAACTGAGTGTCCGTTGCATTTGCCACAAGAAGAAACCTGCAAATCGCCTTGGGGCACGAAGCTGAATAAAAGACATAACATCATGCGGCAAATATGCGAAGCATGTGCCGGGCATTCGTTTGGATAATCTCTCGGTTTCGGTTTAGCACATCCCATCATTCTGCTCTTATGCATTTTTCTATACCTACAAAGGAATGGAGTGTCAAAATCGATGAAATTGGAATTTTTCACCAGGCATCTCTTGAAGGGGAACCATTTTTACTCATCTCTGCAGAATGGTTTCTGAGTTATATGAGGAAAATGCTTTTTGATAGAAATATTTACAAGAAGTATATGGGGAATTATTCAGCTTTAAATATTTTTATTGATATCAGAGAAAGAGCAATATTATTTTTAAGTTCCATATATTTTACCATATAAACTCTGTACGCACTTTAAATGAAATTTCAAATTTTTCAATGGAATTTTATCAGGCTTTTCAGGAATCCTTCGTTTTCGGGAAATAACCGAACATCTCGCAATCCGCTTGCTGCATTCAGGTCCTCTTTTCCCCGTTCTCATTACCATTGCAGGCACTTTGCGATTCAATGAACTGCGCAACTTAAAGCTTAAACATTGTTGGCGGCTGATGACATGCACGTTGTTGTTCTTGTCCTGGGTTCCTGGTTTGCTGGTTTCCCGGTTTCCTGGGTTTCCCATCGCGAAAAGCGGGCGCCGTATGGAAATTGGCACGGATCCCGGGCAGTGACAACCTGAGGTTTTCCACTGCGCCGCCTGCTCCCTTTTAATGCTCTCCATTGCAGTTGTTATACATTTTTATTGTTTTTGCACGCACTTGCCGATTAAATGGGGCGAGAGAATTTCCAGATGGGCAGGGGGCGGAGGGAAAAGTGCCAAAGGGGGCGGCGGAAAAATGTCTTTCCTTTCAATTTCAGTCTGCACAGTGTCTGCGTTTGGTACCTCAGCTGGCAATGAGTGCATTTTTAATGCTAATTATTTCCTTAATTACATTTTCACTTTAACAGCCGCGCCCTTTGTCCTGCCTTTTCCACTCCCTTTTCCAGTCCTTTTTATGCCCCCTCTTTATGTCCCGGCGCCTATTAGCCTGCATACATCCCCCCGACTTCCCCACTATATGTATCCCGATGTAGATATATATCTCGGAAATAACATTTATTATTGCACTTACCCTGTGTCGTCTCGTTTATTTCGGGTATTTCGCATCTGGTCCCCTTAAAGCCCTTCGGACAGTGGCAAGTTATGGCGGCGTCGCCGATGTGCCTGCAAATGATGATCCGACAGTAAGTAAATGAGGACAGCAAAAAAAAGGAGCTGGCAAAGATATAACATGCGACCAGCCTTACAAAAGGATGGGTAAGCTCTGAAAAGTCCTTATACGTATTCCAAACTTTGAAGCTCAAAATATAAAAAACTATACAAAATTATAACAAATATTTCAAAATATCTTTTAATTTTTTTAATATTTAATCAAGTACCAAATATATATATTTTTATTATTTTCTCTACTTTACAATATTCTAAGTATTGTTTTTCATTCAATCTTAATTTCTGTCTGCTTTTCAATTAATAAAAAATATTTTCAATGAACAGGTTATGAATAAGAATTAAATAATATTTATTGTTCATAATTTCTGATAAAAATTTGCCCTATTTTGATTAGAGATTTAGTACTTACTTGCAAGTGCCGCCGTTTTGGCACACGTTGGTATGCAGGTCCTTGCACAGTGGGCCATGACCACAGTCACTGCCGCTGAAGCCCGGAAAACAGGAGCATCCATAGGAGCTGCAAGGAGAACATACGGAGGATGTGAGCACGTTTCGAGCTGAAGAAGTTATGTGTTATGTGAACTGCAATCTTGGCACCCAACAGAACCCGCTGTTCAAAGTGGACAAGTTATCACAGCGCCGGTCGCAGAATTCGCATTTATCTGGACCCGAGATTGCGGCTGACTCATAAAACTTTTATTGGACCCACTTGATGGGGACTTTTTTTAAGTACGTGCCTAAGCTGAATTTGTAGTTATTTCGAATTCCTACCCGGCAGTGGAGACAGCGGCGTCATCATCAGATACACAGGCACTGGGGTCAAGCTCTTGGCCTCTCACAATAATTTAAATATGTAAGCCGGAAGCCAAGGTCAGGGAGTCGAGAAAAATGGTCCTGTCGCCAGCGAAAAATCTCTTGAAAGAGATTTTCTCACGGATTGAGTGAGCTCGTTAAACCACTTTAAAAGTTGCCAAGGGATTTAAGGGAAAGCATTTTCTTAGAACTTCTCTTTGATTAAAATATGAAATTTTTTCTTATCTGGTATCATACATAACCTTTAAATATAATAAATAAACGGGTATAAAAGCCTATTGAACTCATATTACCTAGTTACTAAAATCGAATATTTTTTATAATACCAACCCGGTTATTAAAAAAGGACATTTCAGACCTTTGTAAGTATTTTTTATTAAAACCCCCTTTCGCACCGTTTTAATCGTCACTTTCGCCGGAAAATTACCGACATTTAAAATCTCAGGACATAATTTACGCTCACAGCATTTTGACAATTTAATTGGGCTTCCCGGGTTTGGACAAATTTTTTCAGGGGACGCGATGAGAAAAAAAATGTGTAACCATTTGTTCAAAGTAATTGGGCATCCTTTGCCATTTGTTTCGCCCCTTGTCGCTCGTTTTTCAGCTGGAGGAACAATTGTTTTGCTTACCCCAGTTGTTCGTAAGTCATGCGTTGTTGACACACGCCAACCGAAATTAATTTGCCATTTCGTCCTTCCATTTTACAAAAAAAAAGGTTGATCCCTGGGTCTTAAAAGCGTGAAAAGCCCATGGAAGGCAGTCAATTCAGCCTCCTTTGGTTGACACTTCTTCAGAGTCTCAAGCCTAATGGGTATTCGATGGTAGAAAAATTCTAATTGATCTATTAGTGCCATCTGCAGTTTACTTATCAAACTCAAATCATATTGGGTAAATCGAAATTTATACGAGAGGCCAAAAGGAAAAAGTTTCACGCCGCTTAGTCGAAGAAAAATCAAATCTTCTCTTGGCCAAAGGACGAAACAAAAAGTGACCAGGAAACTTTTGATGTTCATGAAACTTTTACTTTTATGCGAAATCTTTGTGCTCACTTGCTGGAATAGGGAACCATTTTGGAAAAGTTGAATTGGCCGCCGCAATTATGCAAAATATTTATTTATTTTCCTCTAGCATGAGACAAAATTCCTGGTAAGTCTTTGTTCAAGTATTCGTTGTCTGGCCCATTCTGCACCTATATCTTGACCACTATGTACTTTGAAAATTAAGCAGTTTATCATTCGAACATGAATGTATGCTAGAGTTTGGTTAGACCTAGCGAAGACGCCCCTTTGTTCAACTTGCACACTGACCTACTGCCTTGTTACATAAGAAGTTTGTGGTCTTGTATGCCTGCCATTGTGTAGCGGAAATTAATTGCCCTGTGTCCTGACATCTGCGGTGCCTACGAGTCCTTGCTGCCCACTTATCGCCTTCGCTCCTTGTTTTGCCTTCTGTGACGGAAGCGTTTTTGGGCTACATCTAAACCGAGATTATTTTACAAAGTTTAATGGGAAAGCAGATGAATTTAATCTTACTTTAAGGGGTCTTATTTTGAACCTAAGCTTGTTAATTGTTCCCAACTTTTCTTTTAAATAAAATTATATTTTATAAATGACCTTAAAGTTGACTCATCGACAGCTATTCGTAAGGATAAACTGGGCGACAAAAAAGGGCAGGACTATTGCAGCGCAGCTCTTCTGGCACTAAACCTTCTTCATTTCAATGAAACGGGCTTTGCATTTTTTACGAATCGCCGAAAATCACCTGCAGCTGGTTTTGTGAGTTTTGGCTACCTTTTTTCGTCCTTTTTGCATAATTCTGTGTATTTTGCGACATGTGCACTTCGAAAGTTTTTTTTACACCAAAAAGTATTTGGCACACCGAGTTTTATTTTCCCTTTATTTGTGCCTGCCGCTGCCGGGCCTTTGTTTTAAATAAAAATTAAATGTGCCGCGCATACGGCATGTGTTGCGATTCGTCGTTGGCGGTGAGCAGATAGATTTTTCACGGCTCTCGGGGGAGGGCGATGTTTTGACTGCTTCTGGCAATCCAATTTTGCGCATTTTAAATTCATTCAGATTTGTAAGGCCGAACAATTAAAATCGCTTGCCAAAAATCTGCAGCAACTTTATGGCACTGCCACTGCACTCAAAAACTGCTGACAACGCTGGGGAAATGCTTGACTGCGTTTGGGATGTGGATATAGATGTGGATATGGATATGACGATAGGCAACTGGCGAATGTGAATGCGAATGGCGAATAGCTTGAATAGCTAACCCAAAATACACATATGGCTGCCATGGATATGTCATGTGAGACGCCAGCATTGTTACTTAGTTGCGAGTCTTTGGCCAGAATTTTGGCAGATTTTTGACAAAAAGCCAAAGTGCATTGAGAAATATGAAGAAGCGAATATTTATACTGTACACAGCCATTCAAACATGCACATCGCGTAATGGGCCAGCAGAAACTTTAATGTGAAGTTTGAAAAGTTGATAGAAATATAAGTTGTACAGTAGATCTATTCTCAGTGGAAAGTCAGCGCTTTAAAAGAAATCATTTGGATTTTAAAAAGAAAGGATGTTTCTCTTACGTAATGAATACATCAGTGTGAAAATAAATTATTGCATACTTTTAGTCAGATTTTTAAGAGACTTTAAAACCCCTAGTAGTTTCCGTGTTACTCTGTTACATTTTCATGTTACTCGTACGATTTCTTCCTGGCTAATTGCTTTCATTATAAATAATCAATAATTAAAACATCCAGCAATCGAATCAAAGCCTGACGAATTTGTGCTCTCCCATTTAATTCCAGTTTAAGTGATGGGCGTCCACGAATGTGCCGTTGAATGACTGTTGGCCTGGGCAGCCTACGATGAAAACGCAATGAAATTACAACAAATTGCTTTTTTCTTGCCGGTGGCACGTGTAACCGTAAAAGGAAGCGGTTGAAAAAAAAACCGGAAAAAGAAGAAAAGGCTGAAATGTTGGCAATTACTTTTTCACCCATTCGCCTAATGCAATAAAATTTAATTTGATGGTCGTATGTGAAAAGGTGACTGCGGGGGCGCCAAGAATAGGGATTGTGAAATGGTTTGTGGCGGGCATTTTACCGCTTCACAGTCGTAAAACACAAAGGATGTTAAATATGAGAAATATGTATGTGCGTGCTATTCCATTTGCATTTTAATGGTTTTCTTTTTTTTGCTTTAAAATTGTTTTTATTTTATTTTAGCTGTGCCAACTTATTTAGTTAGAAAGGTTTGCTTTTATAATTATAATAGCCTGTCATATCTGTGTTTTATTTTCACACAAATGGGGACTTTTCGCACCACATAACCGTAATAATCTGATTCAATAAGAATAAATGGAAAATAGTTGTCCTCTGGCTGCAAAATGTTTTTAATATTTTCTCTTTCACCTCCACCCAGACCACCTGGCTTTCTTATATTTTGGGAAACTTTCGAAATAAGTAATAACATCTCTCGCTCAAGCGAGGAGCCCAATTTGCGGTAAAGGTGCCTCGACGTCGTTGCACGACAGGAAAATTAAAAGCACCGAATTGCCACAATATTGGGAGCAAAAAGTTTTAATTGAGCGGCACATGCCAGAAATGGGGGATCGGGTATCGGGGATTCAGGGTTCCAATGTGCGAATTTCGGGGCCAAACAAAACTTAATTGCAATATGCAAAGCTCGGACTCTGTTCGGCGGCCCAAACTCATGCACAAACTTAAACCGAAAGCCAACTGCTTCCCTGGGCATCCCCGGTCGTCGACTTTGGATAAATGACAATGTTTGACATGGCAAACAATGCACGAGGCGCAGGCAGGCGAATCGGAATGACACTGACACAGTTGCCATGTGGCCACCCCAGCCCACTGGCATGTGCATCGCCAGCCACAAGGATGCACCTCCGCAGGAGCTCCATCTCCATCAGCATACCCTCCCCCTCCATAACCCTGGGCTTGGTCCTTTATTTGGCCCCCGCAACCCGAGCCTGATCTCATTTGGTGCTGACATTCTGTTTGCTCAGCACCAGGCTCGCTTTTTGTTATTAAAGCTGAAACGGACGCAGATATCCACAGCCAATGGCCACGCATATTCATTGCCGAGCCTGTTCATATGCACCCTCCCCCGCTTTCGTGGGAGCGGATCCAGAATTCGAGGGAGGTTTATGGGAAATATTGCAATGGGTTTTCCACTTTTCCATACTCTCTTTGTCCACAGGTAAGGTCTTGACTTTAAATTTTTGGTAGCCATTTGCGATATTAATTTATATTCACAGCGATTTCCATATCAATCTTTCTACTATTATAAAGAATAAATATTCTAATCAATTGGTTCAAATATTCATATTAAAATTTATTGGATTATTGGTCTGATATGTATCTTTCCCATAGTAAAAAGTCTTGTCGCCGAAATACAAGTTATACAGCTTATTTTGGTCACTTTATATTATTTATTATATTATTTTATGACTGAATCAGGTAATAACTTTATTTTGTTCTAGCCGGATACATTGTAGTAGACATCAAATTTTAATTGGATATTTAGAGGTTTCATTAGATGTTTATTTTGTAATGTAAAAGTTATATTTTAAACCCCCTGTTCTTGGTGACCTTTTTTATTTCCATGACAAACTTAAAGATTACAAAAAAGTGAACAAATCCAGGCCTAAAAGAAAGGTTTTTTCCAGAGTTTATAAACTAAAGAAAATCCCTAAAAAAAAGAATATATAAGAGATGTATTCAGATTCATTACAAAAACCCTGCAAACAAAAATCAAAAACTTTTAAATAGAAAGTGTAATTTTACAATTTTTTAAATAGGACCCTTGATAAGATCGCGTATTTTAGGGCTAACAATATCCCCGAATCCGCCACTGAGCCCAAAATCAGACCCAAGCCCGACACAAACCCACTTTGGGACGCACATCGCTTGCCGAATGAATGTGGCCTAATTCCGAACCGATGTCATTGCCGTCGGTGCAGCTTCTTCTGTTTGCTCACCGATGCTCGCACAAAAAGGTTGCCAATCAGTCGGCTGGGGATTGGGTTTTACAGCCTCTTTTACATTTTCGGGCACTCAAATATACAATGTTGTGTTTAGAGCGAAGGTCTGGCGGCAGACTGAGCCAACAAGTTCGAAATATATGCGTAATGCGATGGAATGGATGGGTACTTTTTTCTGTTCTGCTCATCAACTCTGAATACATTTTGCCACTTTTCTTCTCTGTGTTGCGAACTTAAAGGAAAAATAGATTAAATTACCGAATCGGTTCAATAAAGGCGGGTCTGGCTGGCAATGGACCCTCTGACGGCCCTCAAAGCGAAAAAGTTTTTCAATTAAGCGTTTGTTAATGAAAATATAGAGATGCGCCGAAAACCGGACGAAAAGGAAAGCAACGGCACAGAAGGAAAAACAAAAGTAAGGGCTTAAAAACGAAAAAGTATTTAAAAATATAAATTGGTTACTGCTCTGTTGAGTTTTGCGGTGAAGTGCAACAGATTTTCGCTGGCCAGCGGCAAATTGATGGACGTGAAACAGTAGTACCAATGCCATAGTGCCAGAGCCCCGAAAAATAAATGCATAAAAATGCAGCCAGCCACGCATTCAGTCAGTCGAAATAAATGCAGGACCCAAAAGAAACAAGGGCTCGAAATGGAAACCAACGGTTTCGGGTTTCTGGCTTCTGGCTGCGACAGCAACTCCTTGCCGCCTGTTGGCTTTTAGCCAATTGTTTATGGCTTATTGTTTCTGCTCCCTGGCTCTCGCCGGCAACTTGCAATCGCTTTTCTAAAGTTTCTGCGAGCAGTTCGCAGCTCAACAGGATTTTGAATATTTTATACAAAGTTTATTGGCAATCAAATGGGGTTAGTGGTCGCCGCCATTAATGAGCTTCGGCGAACTTTTGCGGGAATTACCGAAAAAAGAGGGCAGTGCCACTGATAAATTTCAGTCAGTAAATAAAATACATTTCTCATTTATTTATAGAAAAAAAAACACAATTAATTTAAAATCGTGCTTAATTTAAGCCTGCAACTCATTTCATTTCACAACATTTCATTAGCTTTAAGCTGTGCAGCACTTGACACTTTTGCTTAGCTCGTTTGAAGGCGCCTATTAAAAAAGCTAACACATATGACACCTGAGGGCAAAATATTAGCTGCGATTGATGGTTTAAAAAATTATACAAAGTTGTGGTTTCAATATTGATCTTAACTAAGGTAAAGTTAACCTTAATAAGTCATCAAAGTAAATGTAAAAATTTAATTTCACAATTTACAACTTTAAAAAAATATACCAAAGTAGTACGTTTTTTTTTTTTTGGTAAACTTTATAACAAACTTGCGTCTTAAAGCAAAATCATAATTTCCCCAAAAACTGAACTATTATTTTTACCCCAGCTGTGCATACACACTGTAGCATATGCAAAGTCAACGAGATGCCACTCCACGAGTGAAACAGAGGCAGCAAAAAATTAATAAACGGGAGGACTAAGCGCACGCACACTGGGTGACACATAAAGATTCACGCTCTTATCCATCTATTTAGCATTCTATTCTCCGATGCTATGCATTTTCGCACATTAACTTAACAAAGGGGCTGCTGAAAACGAGCGCCATAAACGGGGATGCAATGAGTGAAAAAAGGGGGGACTGAAGCTCGAAGGGGATTGAATATTCCCCCCTTATCACGACATATCCTTGTGGCAGGAGAGTTGACAACATGAGCATGACTGTTTTGTTGTTTATACGAGTGCGCAGCAGCTGTGATGCTTTGCTCCTGACACAAGTCACTTGACAGAGCCCCAGAAACCCCCCTTCACATATTTCGCTTCATCGTGCACTGAGAGATATTCGGGGAACTCCACGAAGTGCGATGTGCGTCCTTATCGCAGGCACGTAGAGGACGGGGCCTTTTCCCATTTGCCCTTAGTTGGTAATTAAGTTACGGGATGCTACGTGGCAGGCGCGAAATTGTATCTCCAGGACTCGGGACTCCAGACTCTAATGAGCGAAAGACTACGCTGATGCAACTTAGTTCAGCTGTCACTTTTATATTAATTTTTCGCCAGCAGGCATTTCACTCGCACTTCGACATTGATATTAATATTCAATTAGCTGCCCGGATGCGCGGCCTTGGGCCAGCCAATTAATTATAATTATGTTAAGTAGGCGTGGAAGTTGCAGCCTCTTCGCAAACTTCGCACAGAATTTTTTTTGGAAAATATTCGTGGCTCATAAATAGCAAAGTCTCGCCCAAACAAATCGGGCAATTAATTTGATTTGTTTAACGTTCTCTGGGGTCATTGTGCGCCCGGCTATTTACATGTTAATTGCCTTCAAATTGTCTATTTGTTAGGCATTAGACTTTATAATTGCCGGCAAAATTGAAAGTATAATTTTATTTGCCACTGCTTGGGCTTCGAATTTAAATTTGAATCTGTAGAGTGGGATATACTCGGAATATTCGCTGCATCGAGGAGCTCTTCAATTAATCAAGCCCACGAGTTGTCAAAGCATTGTACCACACAAGCTCTCACGTCAAACTCAATTGCGGAGCTTATTCATAAAACCCACTACCTGGATTTTGTCAGGGAAAATGCATCAAGCGCTCCAGCTTTTCTTTTGACTTTTGGCCAACCAGTTTGTGTGTGTACTTTTCTTTTCACTGACATGGGTTGCCTGCCGTCCATTGTTTCGGCTTCTCCGACGCTTTTCCGCCGGGGAAATCCGGGCGGGTTTTTCGCTTGTTTTGTAGCTCCACTTATTGAAACATTACAAATGTATGGCTCCCACTTGGTTTAGGTGGAGAGCCCTGAACCGATCCCGAAACCAAACCAAACCGAAACGAACCGAAAGGCAAAACCAAATGCAAGGGGCGAAAGATTGATGTGCGAGCAGTTAACATTTTCAACGGCTACCTGCGATTGCCGAGTGTATAGATTTTTGTCTGAACAGAAAGGAAACGGAATTTTAAACCCAGTTGAATCTGGTTTTTCGGTTTTTCACTTTCCCCTGCCATATTTTGAATGTCCGGACGGTAGAAGTGGAAGGTCGACGGGAGACGCAAAAGTTTTGCCTGCGCTTAAATATGCTACATGTTCCGGACGCAGGTGCTCGTGTCCACGGGGAAACCCTGTTGGATTGGTCGGGACTCGAGTAGTGCTCATATTTGTATTTCAGCTGCGTCAATCATTCCACCCATCTGAACTGATTTTTGCTTAGAAATATATTACAAAACTGACTGAATGTGTGGAAAAGATGATTTTCAATAAAATCGTAATATAAATATTGGTATTTTATGTACATTCAAAGTTTTTAGTATAATAAAATAAGCTTTTTGACACATTTTAAAATTTTAATGATTAACAACCATTATTAGTTATTCTTTATCTGTTATGATAATGATCTAGTAATTGTTATTGTATTTTTTTTCAATAATAAAACAAGTTTGGAATGCTCTGAAAAGACCTCAAATTAATCATACGCCATGTTGGTGTTGATGTTTTAAATATTATCAACTTAATTTTCCCAAATTGCTGTTTTATTATTTATCTATTGATTTTTTAAAGGTGCTTTATTTCCGAGCAAAATAATAATAATAACAAAAAAGCTCTTCATGAGTAAAAGGTATAAAATAAATCATACGCCATGTTGGTTATATTGAAAGCAAAGTTTTATCATCTTAATTGACTTAAATTCGTGTTTTATTTATTTTTTGGCAATTTCCAGATAAAATAAATTCAGAATTGTAAATTAATTTACCCAAAATGTCCAGTTCTAACTTTAATCGAATCAGTTTATTACTCTGCACTACAAAAATGCTGTCAAGATATTACAACCCGTTCTAATCAGTCACGTTTCTTCTACTTTCTTTCACTCTATTCCTTATAAAAGGGCCTTATAAATAAACTCACCTGTAGTCGGAACTCGCGTAGCAATCGCCCAGGAAGCGGCACTGCAGCGTGTTGCACTGCGCGGTCTTCACCTCGTTCTGCACCTCGTAGGTGATGTTGAACCCGTAGACGTCCAGCAGGCGGTCCAGAGCCCGCAGATGGGTTCCGTCCAGCGTGGCCATGGTGAACCGGATCTCCAGGTACTGGCTGTGGAACTGCACCCACGTCACCTGGGTGACGTCGTCCTCGGTGAGCGTGAAGACCCGATGGGCGGGCACCTTGAAGTCATCCGAGTAGTACATGTACTCGGTGAACTTCAGGCCGCTGAGCACGTAGAGCTGGGTCAGATAGACCACGATGGAGACGTTTCCCTGACCCTGGGGCGGCACATCGGAGGCGTCGATTATCCAGACGCATTCGATGGGCGTGCCGAAACGGTGCGGGAAATTGGGCGTCTGGATAATGCCATGCCGGGCCTTCAGCATCCCTCCGCATCCCGGCGAGCTGGAGGGGGCGTGGCCTCCCCCTCCTCCATCGGATGAGGTGGAATGTTCCCCTGCAAATGCGTTAAGGGCAAAGTGATTTTTGCCGGGGGCAAAGGGCGGAGGGGGCGGAAGCGGTACGGCGGGCAGCGGGAATTTCTGGTCAGCATCTGTTCGGAGGGGCAGGACCACCATCCATAGCAGCCATATGGTCGCTGATAACCGGACGAGGGTCATTGACTTGGCTTTTCTACTCTTTACGGTTTTTTCGCTGACTACCAGCTAGCTTATCATTCGGCGAGGACGTGAATTGCTTTCCTGGCGGCTGCCACGGCCCAGTCACTCATTGACATTTGGCCCATTTTTTCCTCGCACCGGAGAGGAGCTGCAAAAAAAAAGAGGGAAAGATAAAGTCGAATTTTTAGTTAAAACCATTTTGACAGCTGTCGTTTGCATTTGAATAACTGCCGTTGGCCTTTCACGTCGTCAGTCGTCGGTATGCCGTCTACTGTGTATACTGAATACTGTCAGCGTGAAAAAAGCAATTTGGGAATCCACTAAAACGCGAAGGAGCTCGAGGAGCGCATCAATCATGGCCTTCATGGGTGTCGCCGAGCGTGGCTGGTCATAAAACAGAAGCACAAAGAGCCCAGGCCGCTTTTCTTCTCAGGCCTCAAATTGTTTTGCCATTTTTCGAGTGTTTTTTTGATCTCCACTCTTGGGTTAATAAATATTCGTATATGGTATATATGCCACAGAGAAATGCAATCAAATCTAATCAAATTCAAATATACATGTGCCACTGCAATGCAAACACAGCCGGTGGTAATTAGGATGGGCTAATCGGATAAAGTAAAAACTTGGCAAACCAAATCAAAATACGGATTGCCACAGGGACTCCGAACCCAGGCAAGTTGTCAACAATTCTGGCCAAATGCCGCTGCCTGGGAATTGGATGCATAAATTATTCAGCATTCATAGAGTGCCGGCTGAGTTGTGGGTGTGTATTTTGTTGGCTGTATGTTTGTGGTTAATAAGATTATGCAATAGAACTTCCTGCCGGGACAGGAAATACCCAGGCAGCGCAGGATATATATTTTGGAATTTATGCCCGACTTTCGTTTGGAGCTCCGGCTTCCTTGGACCAAATGAGCTTGCACCGTTGACTTTAAAGTGATGGGATTGGATGGGATGGAATGGGATGCCCTCGGTCTTGGTTGGCAAACTTTGGCATCCGCATCCGCTGGTTCGAGGGGGCTCGGGAATGTGTGTTAACAAGTTTAATCAAACGACAATGTCGGCAGATACGTGCATACTTTTAGGCATATGGGCACGTAGAGTCGCGAGGGGGAAAGTAAAGAAAAGGAAAGACGCACGAGTTGTAGCCCCAGTCGAGAGTGAAAATGAGTTCTACTTTCAAATTGCTTTAGTTACGCGTTTAAGGGCATAATGAATAAAAACTCCGCCGCCTTCAACGGCGAACTTTTCGCCTATCTTGAACGCCCGAAGAATTCTAATTTGTGACGCCAGGTCTTTGCCATTTGTCAACACATTTGATTTACATATTTTTAGGGGGGGAAAGGGGGTGAGATTTTAGTTACCCTTTCTGCTAAAAATCTTGAAATTTGCAACTATATTCCAGAAATAAATGAACTCGATCCGACTTTTTAAAATACAAAATCAGGTATAGAAAGTATGAAGGAAATACTTCCAAATATTTTTAAGATATTTAAAATATAATATAATAAAATAATTAAGTAAACTTAAAATATCTGTAGACACAACAGAGATATAGGTTAATATTTTTGATAATCCCAACTTGTATATTTGTTAAGTTACTTAATTCTAGAAAAACATTGGCTTCCCAGCGCGAAAAATAAATATACATATTTAACTTTCGCTATATGGCAGATGGGAGAACAGAGTTTGAGTAAGATAAGCCCCCTCGTATTTGCTTATTCCAATTTCTGACTGGCTAGTTAACCCCCTTCAACTTTCAACGCCACTTCCATGCGCTTTTTGGGGCCAAAAGAACGTCTCGCGTTAACAGTGACGCCCATGCCCGGCATGCCCAACACTTCTCCATAGATAAGGCCTCTAGGCAGGCACTTCAACTGATACCGATAAACATAAAGCCAGGCGGACGTCGCAGTCGCAGTTGGCGTCGCCGTAGCCGTAGCGTCGAGCAAATTGCCAATTTAAATTGGCCGCGTTAAATTAGTCGAGTTATCAGCCTCCACGGCGGCAGGTGTGCGGAAGGTTTTCGGTTTTGGTTATTCGGTTTTGGGTATACGGTTTACCTGGTAGTTACCCCCCTGCAACGGACAGCCTTGGGGCCGCGAGCCTAGTGATTCAGCCTCTGAATGGCCCTCGTGGAGCGGAAGTTGTTACGTGCGAAGGTGTAAAATGACCCGATCGGAGTCGGATTTGCACTTTTTGAGGAAGTGAAAAGCCACGAATGTTGTTTGCCCCGATTAATCTGCGGTCATTCGGCTGAGTGACATGCCCGTTTTGCGTGTACGCCTCAAGTGGTTTGTTGAAAAGTGAAAAGCTACTCATACGAGTTCTTTTTTGGTGAATAAAAGTGAATACACCTTGAAGTTTACCTATATAAAGGCGAAAATATTCATGTTTCTGCATTTTATTCCCCTCTTTCTATTTGACAAATTGAAAGTCAACAAATATATCAATCATCTTGAAGTTCTTGATATTGATATCTAATCAAAAGATATGGCTGACATATTCAGCGACAACTTTGCGGAAACATTCGAGTGTTTTTTCTGTGAAATAAAATAGCCTGTGCGTCAGTACTTCAGAAATAGTTTTAAAATTTTAACCAAGTTTTGGGTTGTGGTCAACTTGAATTTCCCAATCGCCTTGTAAAACGCGACATACGTGAACTTTACCTTTGCCATAAAATCTTATCGGTGCCCGAAAATAAAAAGTTTCCTTGGTCGAAAAACTCGCTGTTAACGTGATTATGCTATAAACCAAATCAAAACCAAAAACAATATCAATATCAAGCAATAACTTCATTATGAAATGCAATGAAAATGGAAAATAAAAAGCAGCGTTGAATGAAGTGAAGAACAGTGAAGAACAACAAATAAAGAAGCAGAAAAGTGTGCTGATAACTGCAAACGAAATGTCAATAAATTAATATAAATGAGTGACTCGTGACTGGCGGCTCCGGCGAATCACTCCGGCCTTTCTCTTGTCCATGTTGTTGATGTAGCTGTGGCTGTTGTGTTGCCATTACTTTGCCCATGTTTCAGCGTTTTTATTTCACGTTTTTTATTATTTTCCAAAGCAAAGCATGAAATCATGGCTGGGAAAGCAAAATACAAATGGCTATCAAAACAAGCTCTTTATTTCGCGATGTGAAATGCACATCGGCGTTATCGAGGCAATCGCATAAGGAAATACAATTGATAAAACGCTATTGCTATATGTACAATATGAGGGTATCTGATTTTTGAGGCCAGTAAATTGGTTAATACTCCAAGTTTGGGGCTCTGATAATTCGCCCCAAGTGCTGTTGCCTTAGAGCTTTTGGCCAAACAATGAAATCCCCCCGCATAAATAGAAAACAATTAGGCATTTGAGACGATAAGAGCCAAATAAATGATAAAAGCCCCGGCAAGCAAGCATACTGACTCATCGCAGTGACCGGGCTGCGAGCAGAAACAAAAACCGAGAAATTGGTAGCAATTCGCTCTCAGCGGTAATTAAAGCAGAAAGCAGCCAGTTGACGATGCGCATAATTTTTGAACTTTGAAACTTTTGTTCCACAAACAAATTTATCAGATGCAAAGCAAATGCTTCTGATTCTGCTTCTGCTTCCAGTTTTCTGGGACAGTTGATAAACCGATGTGGTCAACCCCGAATTTAGTGGTGCCCTCGGAAATCCAAGTCCTTTTGATAGCCAACTGAAAACTGACGATGATGGCCTGCACAATATCTGGCTGGTTGTCTTTTGAGTGCGTACTTCGAGTTTCTCCGAATTTTGGTTATAGCTTCCCAGATACCAAGTTTAGTGCTTCTTCTAGCACACTGAAAACTAAATCGGTTTCTAACAGATTTTGTTTTGTTTTGCAAAACGAATCTATTTGATAAGACCTAAAAGGAAAATTAAAATTAAATTATAACAAATTATAGCAGTTAATTATTTCTTACCTAAAATTATTTCTTGTTTTTTAAATAATTCTCCAAGACTTTTAAATATAAATAAAATGCTTAAAAATATATATACTTGGTCTCTGAATTAAAGGGATATAAGCTGATAACATTAAATACGTGCTAAATACTAGTTTCCGGAATCCTCTTAAGTATCAAAACTATAATCTTGATGTGCCAGAAACCCACCTATTATTGTTTGCTTATTAAATGAAAGTGATAAGATATTTTCGAATAGCCAAGTCTTAGAGACTCTAACTAAATACATAGAAGCAAAGGTTAATCAATTTATGGGCAAAGTAAATCGAATTGTAGTCCAATCACAATAGAAGCATACATAATCCGCGGCAATTGCAACCGAACACAACAAATTTATAGCCGCAATTAAATCCTTGACCATAAATCAGGGAATATGGCCGCGGTAATCAAAGTGTTTAACCCACACGCAGCAACCGCAGCAAACGATTTGAGATAAAAGAGCGAGCGACTAACCGCGGCTAATAAAACAGAGTGGCCAGAGGCACGAAAATCATAGACGGATACAGATAAATTAACCGAATCGACAACAATATGGCCTGCTTTCCCCGACTTTTCCATCACCGCAGCAAAAACAAATTCACCCCCGCCCAAGATGAGAACACCGATACGATACTCAACACACAAGATAGCCCCGTGGTGAGTTCCGCGTGCCACAGATCACGCTTTAGTATTGCACTTGTCTGATAACTCGACTGATAAGTTCATCAAGTGCTTAATTAAGTTAATCGGGGCAACGAGAGAAAACCATAAATAATGTGTAGCGAAACATAAAATAAATAAGGGTAGTGGTCGACCCAAAGATACCCAATAAAATTATAATATTTAAGGCTGTTTACTAGATTTGTTTACTAAATATACAAAACATAAATCAATCAAAACTCAAAATCGGAAAATTTATCACCTTCGTTTCTGACTGATTAGAAAAATGCAAACGGAGTACAGATTTTGATTTTTATTATCTCATGATTTTCTGTCTATTTTTACGTTCGGTAATGACCTTGTTCTTTCTAAACATAGGGTATTGAATTGTGTTTGGGTCGAAACCTAGTTTTTCTTATCACTAATACTTTGTCCATGACGTTTACTTTTTAACGGGCTTATCTAAAAACCAAAAAAAAAAACAAAAAATCGGGAAAAACACGAGTGTCGATAACTGAATTCCCATTAACTTTTTTTTTGGGAAAATACTTTTCAATGGAAATGCTCAATGAGCATATAAAGAATATATAAAACCAATGAAGATTCTGGTTAATAAAAGAAGTAGAACACAGTTGCATAAATACATTTGGATTTCCGTAGGATACTTTGACAAATTGTTCAAATGGACCCAGTTCTCAAGAGACCACTTCAATCTGCACGGCACTTGACTATCTGCAATCCTGGCGTTTCATCAATAACAAACATTCCACGACGAGTTGGTATTCGGTATGCAAAAATATGATAAGCATGCATATAAATAGGTGTGGAAAAACAGGAATCGTAGGAAAAATCATACTCGTGCGGCAGGACGAAGCTCATGCATAAATCTAAAACAAAATGTGTGAGTGGAGCAGCTTGCAGCCGGAGCTCCAAATGACGTATAAATATGCAGGATCCGTCGGATGCTGGGCTATCTATAGAAACATCTGTAGCTGTCTTTTTTCTCGGGAAGAGAGGGGACTCCAGGACTGACATGGTTCTAGGCGGCGAGCACTGAAATGAACGTGATTGCACGCACAACTTACACGTCACAGTAATTCTAAATAACTGCTGGATGTTTGGGGGGCCAAAGCCGTTAGAAAGGCAAACGCCCTTGGGGAGGAATACGTGAAATGACGTAGACTAAGAATCCGAGGGCTTCGAATCCGAAAATACCTCCTCCCTCCCCCCTAAAAAAAACTTCGTTTTCAACTGCAGGCAGCAGCGAGTCAACGTTATCGGGTGACATTATCGGCCAAAAACAGAATTTGGCGCTTCCGTGGGAAAACGGAAAACCTGTCAAAACGCCGTCGTTTAGGTCGATTAGCATATCAAAGCAGATCCATCCAGGCGACTCGCAAATTGACACGTGTTTATTTATGCCTGCACTAGGCCCCCGAAAAACCGGGTTGAATATTTCATTAGACCCCATGCCAATTGAAAGATAAGATGCGAACGCCTTCCGCATGAGTTAACTTCAAATTTTGTGTATACTCCGATGAAACTTTTGAGGAGAAAAGATTATGTGAACCTACCGCAATGTTGGCCAATACAAACTTATTGTAATCCCAGCTCAACGTAGACATTGCCATAATCTTTACACAAGTGTTTAGTCAATTCAAATTGGAAATGCTAAAAACGTGTAATAAATTCAAACTAAATTATGACTTATGTCAGGCACAAGTCATAGCTGTCTGGGCTATTTTTAAAACATTTTTGCGCAGCTGAACAAAAACCGAACTTAAAAATACTTTTACGACACATGACACCACCCGTGTCAAAACTTTTTCACTTTTGAAGAGGTTACAAGTCATGAAGTCGAGATGGAATGGAATGTTGGTAGATGAACAATTCTTATGGAAATTGGTGAGATTCGTTTTAAGGCTTTACGTTCACCAACAATTTAGGCAGATCAAACTGAAATACTTAACGGGGAATCCCTAACTGACGTGTTGAAAGGTCAAAAAGGGACACAATAGGGCCACTTTAATACGTAGAGTATTATGTAGAGTAGAATGAGACATATAAAGCTTTGTGTTTAAAGAAAAAAATGGCCATTGTAATTGGCTATTATTGACCTAAAAGAGGCTTAAGCATATAAAGAGTGTTTACATATAAAGAGTGGGTAAGAAATCTGTAGGAAATAAAAGATATTACGCATCAAATTGAAAACGGATAAATTATTAAAGTTAATTATATATTTAATTTTTAAACGAAATATCTTTTAGCAATTCGTCATGCATTTTTTAACAATTATTGCTTTATTGACGAACTATATTAAAATTTTATTTCTTGAAGTTAAAATATTAATACAACAAGGTAATGTTTACCATGGAAAATAAAAAATGTATCTTTGTAAAAATAATATATTTTTTGAATATAAATTAAATTTGTACATTTAATGAGTCAAACCACATTTAATTTTGATGTTATCTAGATCAAATCGTATTATTCAACTCAAATAATATGAGTATGAGTTGGTTTCAAAATTATGTGTCAGCGGAATAAGGCAATAAGTCATGCAAAGTAAATATTGGTGGTTAGTGGGCCAATAAAAAAGGCCACTGTTGATGATTCGGAGGCCTACACCGTTTATAAATACAGTGAGATTTTATTTTTATTTATAGCAAATATTTAATTTAGCCAATTGAAGGCGTGTATAAACAGATGGGAAAGGGTTTATTAGTATGTCAGTTTACCTTGCTTGTAAATCAATTAAGCTGTGTGATTTGTCTTTTTCAGCAAATTGGTCTATACATTCGTCGCGAGGAGAAGCCACTGTACTCGCCCATAGTCACTCCAAGTGCCAGTGAGGTGAGTTCCCCAAGAACCCAGAAATTATTTAGCTATATTTCTTGTATACCACACTCTCACCTGTTCGACCGTATCTACGTGCTGTCTTTGTGAGACTCGACTAATATTTGCACACATGCTTGTATGTTTCTTATACTTTCAAACGATTCGGTGTACACAATAATATCGGCACAAAACACTTGTAAATATACACACGCCTCCACTTTCCACCGAACGCCGAAACTTTCGCACCGCTGTGTTTGTCTTGCTGGATGTTTGGTGGGTTTGGGCTGCTCGATCCTTGGTCCTTGCTGCCTGGTCCCTGGTCCTTTAGGCCAAACTTCAACGGCTAAGGCAGCAGCCGCCCGGCTCCCCGCCCTCCCACCTTCAGTCGGTTGCCGAAAATGGCAGCGCAAACAATGGCGGCCAGGAGCGGCTGTTCCGCTCCAACAAGGACAAACTGCAGGAGTCGTCCTCTTTGGGCGGCAGTGCAATTAATGTCACACGCTCAAGTTCGAAATTAAAACCAGTCAAAGAGCGACGGCCCACCGCCCTGCCCTCCGAGGTGCCCAGCATAGAGGTCGAGGATTCGCAGGACTCGCAGGATGCGGAGGAGGAGCCGGGTTCTAATGCACATGCCAGCGATGTCCTCGATGGCGGCAAGTCAAAACTCAAAGTGAATGTGAATGGCATAATTGATGAGGGCGTTGCCGATGATGTCGCCACACCCTCGAGCACCTTCACCTCCGCCAACACAACACCTGTGAGCGAGAGTCCTGTAAAGTTTTTCATTGGTCACACGCAGGAACTAAGCGCCCAGCAAACAGATGACACTTTGTCCTGGCAGAGCAGCGATGCCAACAACAACAACAGCAGCAGCAGCAGCGCCGCCATTAACGGCAAGCTGACAAATGGGGTCCTGCCGCAGGAGCAACCGGAAAGGGAACGGGAAAAGGAACAGCTCCAGGCTCCGCCCCGCGCCAAGAGCTCCAGCAATGTGTCACTCAATTATCTGGCCAAGAGCCAGACCCATCCGGACAGCCAGCGCCGCCGCCGAGTGTCCACGATGCCCGATATTAACATACCGCCGGCCCCGCCGCTGCCCCCCGAACTCCTCGTCCCCGGAACGCCGCTCCACTTGCGCAAGAAGCGGAGCGTGGAGCGTCCGCAGGACCAGCCGAGTCAGCCAAATCAGCAGGACCAGCAGGATGCTTCGAATAGTCAAGTAAGTAATGAGGTGGCTGCCCAGAACTCTGCGGCTTTTCGACTGTCGGTAGGTGATGGTGGGTGGTACTCAGGTTTTTCTATCTGCCAGGTGGGGTAAATAGTAGTAGAAGAGGAAAGCTAGTTCAGTTTTCCTTGGTTAGGTTACCAGGTTACTTTTGCAACACCCACAAACTTCTCATTTAATCATGCTCTCTTTATATCCCATCATTATTGTTTACTTCATCATTTAAACAGAAAAACAGACTACGTGCATTTTTCACTATTTTAAATGTTAATTAATAATTAAAAATAAATAAATAAAAAAAATATAAAACAAATTAATAAAACATGGAATTGAAAGGCAAAAAAATGTTAGATTTATTGATGTTAAATAGATACATTTATTTTTATTATTATTACTATTAGTCTATTCATTGCTTTTTATGACAAATAAATTTGTATTATTTTTTACATAATGCCAGAAAATGTTTGCCAAAAATGTCAGGTTATTTAATTGGATGTAAGGTTAAACGATTTATGTTTATTTGATAAAAACTAGCTACAAACTACTTGCTAAGGATAATAGTGAGATATAACAACTATAAACCAGATCAAAACTTTTATAACAATTTCTAGTAATCTACTCTTTAAAATTTAGGTATATATTATGTTTGCCTCTTTACCATAATTATTGTATTTTATTTCACAAAAGTGTTAGCTTCGTAGTCGTTTTCCGCTGTACGTAGCTAACAAATAACTGGGTCCGCATCATGTTTATTCAAAAACCTAGAAACTTTCCCCCATTGACAGGCTGTGTGTGTGACTGTCGGAAAGCTACACTCCATTTACTATTTGATGCAACTTTTATGCGGGAGTCAACTCCGCAAAACCTTTCGAAGCCCCAAAGGCAAAAAAAGGGGGGAAACTGAAACACGAAACAGCTGCTTGCAATTGAACCGTGCGCCCAGCACACTTGTAAAAACAAGTTAAATGTTAATTGTTCGCCAACAGACACGAACCGAAACTTTCAACCGACCAAAAAAGGCAGTTTCCTCTGCTCTTTTGGCTGCTCCCCATTGGCAGTCTGTGGCTAATCGGTCCGATATAGCGAATTAATGCCGCCTAAGACAATGTGGTCTTTTTCCTTTACTTTTAGTTCCACGTACTTTTGTTTCCAGTTTTCCAAGTATTTCCCCAGGTTATTTTATAGACCATTCTCTATATAACAAATTTCTGAGGGCTTATTTTGAAGAAGAGGCTTAGTCGAGGCTTCCTTTTGTCTTAGTTAGTTTGAAACCTTTACAGAAAAAAAAACGTATTTAACCGAAATACAATCTGAGCCCTTATCAGCCGTATTAAAAGTATCTATTCCCTTTTTCCCGGCAATTTCGCACGAAAACTACCAGGATCAAATATCAAGGCCAGAGGAGAAGGCCGGCGAATCCCCGACACCCAAAATCCATCGCGTGGAAGGTGGCCTCATCTATGTCCGTCCCAATTTTCCCATTCAAGGCGACATTGAAATCGAATTTATTGCAAAGGACGAAGCGTAAGTGAAACAGCCATGCTGAATTAGAGAAAAACAAACAATCCCTGGTTATTGGCCCACTGATTCCCAATCTCTACGCTTCACAGCACACGCAATCTCATACGAACGGCCATTGAGCGCAATGATTTCCTCAATAATCTAATGGACAAGGAGCGCAAGGAGATGGTTATCAATGCAATGGCCCCGGCCAGCTACCAGAAGCACAGTCTCATCATCCACGAGCACGAGGAGGGCTCCGAGATATATGTGTCCGCCGAGGGGCAGTACGAGGTCTACCGTGGTGGAACTCTGGTGGCCACCTTTGGACCGGCCACTGTCTTCGGTGAACTGGCCATCCTCTACAATGCCCCGCGGCAGGCGAGCATCCAGGGTGAATGTCCTTCGAGCACTTTATGGGGGAAAATAACTCAGTTGATGCTCTTATTTTCCAGCTGCCACCGATGCACGGGTATGGAAAATCACACGCGAAACCTTCAGGGCCATCATGCAAATCTCTGGCTCCAGAGAGCGCGAGGAGAACCTCCAGTTTCTGCGGTCGGCACCGTTTCTACAGGAGTTCGACCAGAGTTTGCTGCTCAAAGTCGTAGATCTGCTGCAAAGGGTAATACATCAGACGGTTGGATATAGATATCGATATGATATGCCTTTGTATTGCAGAAATTCTACGAGACCGACCGGTGTATTGTGCGCGAAGGCGAGGTGGGCAACGAGTTCTATATCATCCGCTGCGGAACTGTGACCATAAAGAAGCAGGACGACCAAGGGCAGGAGATGATTGTGGCCAAGCGGAAGCGGGGCGACTACTTCGGGGAGCAGGCCCTATTGAATGCGGACGTGCGACAGGCCAGTGTTTATGCCGATGCTCCGGGCACCGAGGTGCTCATGCTGGACAGAGAGTGAGTTTTAAATATAATATACATTTTTTAATAAGGGGTGTAACTAATAGGGGAACTGAATTAGGGGTTCCTTAAACCCACAAAAACTGTAAAAAAATGTTTACACCCAAAAAAAGTCGATATGAAACGTAGATCGATTTTACATTATTTGAAATCAATTTTGATTTGATATGCGGCAAGGTAAATTTGACCTGGTATTTCATTTAAAAGCGATATGGGTTTTGAATGACCTGAAATTTACATGGCCATATCGATTTAACGGGAACATGTAATGTTGAAACACATTTAACTTTCATACCGGAAAACAATTATTCCAAAAATTCTCCAATAATATTTAAATATCTTAACTTGAACATCTTATTGATCCTAATCCGAATTAAACCATCAGAAATGTAGAAAATATTTAATTGTAACATAAACTGCTATATTCCAATCCAATATGTTTAAACTCAAAAGCACAGGGATTTTTTCTTATATAAATACAAATAATTTTAAAACCCTTTCTATAATAAACCCATCTATTTTACAGAGCCTTCATTAGCTACTTGGGAACCATTAAACAGCTACGCGAGAAGCCCAGCAGCCAGCGAAATGATACGGGTGGTCGATCCAGCAACAAGTCGCTGGAGTTCGACAACGAATACTCCCAGGTGGCCATCTCGGAACTGAAGAAGATAGCCACGCTGGGCTGCGGAGCCTTTGGCCGCGTGGATCTGGTGGCCCACGGCCAACAGGCTTTGGCCCTGAAGATCATCAAGAAAATCGAGGTGGTCAAACAAGATCAAATAGAACACGTTTACAATGAAAAGAACGTAATGATTAAGTGCCGCCATTCGCCCTTCATAGCACAGTGAGTCGTAACTCAGGCACTTAACTTCGCCGAAGATTAAATAATATTTTATTTCAGACTCTATCGCACGTACCGCAATGACAAATACGTTTACTTCCTAATGGAGGCGTGCATGGGCGGTGATGTATGGACGGTGATGTCAAAGCGCCAGTATTTCGATGAGAAGACCGCCAAGTTTATAGCGGGCTGTGTCGTCGAAGCCTTCGATTACTTGCACTCGCACAATTTCATTTACAGAGACCTAAAGCCCGAGAACCTGATGCTGGGCACGGATGGCTACTGCAAATTGGTATGGATAATATAAAATAGTAATCAAGAAATCTTTGAAAAGAGCGTCCAAAAGTAGGCTACTATTTATTTAAGTAGTCTTATTTTTCACTGCATACTTTTAGACACCTTTTTAAAAGTTAAGACCTCTTGTAATAAAAATCTCTAGAGTTTTGAAACCGCAGAAACTTATGTTTCAAAAGGAGTTGAAAAAAAAAATCTTCGTATTTCCTGAGTCTAAATTAGTTTATGTATATGTTATCTCAAAACTCTACGTTATAGTTTCGATTACCAAAACAAATCTAAAATATATTCCTAATTTTTTGCCAGGTTGATTTTGGATTTGCCAAGTTTGTGAGGCACAACGAGAAGACCAACACATTTGCCGGCACCCCCGAGTATGTGGCCCCCGAGATTATCCTGGATCGCGGACACGATCGTGCCGTAGACTACTGGGCACTGGGAATTCTCGTGTACGAACTGCTCGTTGGCAAAACCCCCTTCAGGGGCGTTAATCAGATCAAGATCTATCAGCAAATCCTCAGCGGCATCGATGTCATTCACATGCCTTCGCGAATCCCCAAGTCAGCCCAGCATTTGGTGCGGCATCTGTGCAAGCAACTTCCGGCGGAACGACTGGGATATCAGCGCAAGGGAATCGCCGACATTAAGCGGCACAGTTGGTTCGAAAGTCTGGATTGGCAGCGACTGAAGCTCAAGCAATTGCCCTCCCCCATCAAGAGACCGCTGAAGAGCTGGACCGATTTGCAATACTTTGGTCCTTCGGGCGTGGAAAACGATTACGAACCACCGGAGGAATTGAGCGGTTGGGACAAAGACTTTTAAAGCTGACAAGTAAATTATGTACAATTTCGGATATTAGTTAGTAGCTATAGAGTTTTTCTTCTTTAATTTTGGGAGCGTCCCACGTAGCAGCCATAACAACCTCGTATTAAATACTAGCTTCGAAAATAGGTTTATAGTCCTATCCCCATTTGTTACATATTTTATTCTAATGTTAGGATGTAAAGTAAAGTTTAAGTTGACCACATTAGACATGAACAATTATATCACCAATTCGTAAAAAGTCTTTTAAAGAGGATACCATGTACGACTAATTCAAACAAGTTCTTTGAGTACCAAGCTCTCAACGAATTCAAATAGCTTTGACCTTTTAAATGACTCAATTTCCACATCTCTTTTGATGCATTTGACAACTTGGTCGCTTTGAAAGTCAACACAGACTGCTGGGGCAGCTGTGACCGAAGGTTTATTTGTACTCGCGGCATCAATTAGAACCGCAAACTGGTTTTCTTTTGCTTTCACCGAAACACAACCCACAGGTAAGTAAACAAATTCAATTTAGCTTGTTCACTCCGCTCTCCGCTTGCCAAATGCAATTGCACAAAGTTGAGAAATATAAGAGCACTTTGTCTTTAACCAGGGGTCCCATGGTCCCTTGTTTCCTCAGCTGGGCTACATAACTCATTGTGACGTCCCTGCCTTGTTTTGCTACAAACTAGCCTTTATCATCGCCATCAATATCAATGTAGTTCCATTGTCTTGCCTGTCCTGAATACATCATCATTTAGGTGAGGCTTTCATCACGCAAAATGGACTTGTTGTTTTTCACATAACTATCAGAGTCTTGGAATTTAATTTACCTCGCCATATTGCGTTAGATGCAAATTCAATTGAAATACAAACAATACAGTTAAATACTTAGTTTGAAACCCCTATAAAGGTCTCTTAAAGAATGCTACAATATTTTTCGTAGCATACTTTTAGACACCTTTTAAAAAGGTTTCAAATGGGAGTTTTAGTAGGCAAATAATTAGGAACTATGGTTAATTTGAAGCCTTACAGACCATGCTCAATCACTCGAAATTCAGATACTTCTAAGAAGGCAAATCAATTGAAATTCAGTTCAGTAAAGCGGGGAAAGAACCCAATTTAATTTGAGCCACGAATAGGGAAAGTTGAAAAAAGCTAAGCAGCAACCGTGCATGGCGAACAACATGGTTAATCAATAATTTAGTACGCTCTCGAAATGGTCAAAGGATGAAAGTTCGCCTCCGCAGAATGGGCCCCTTTTTCGCTGTAGACATTCGCACTCATTTAACAATTTTACGCTTCGTTTAAGGACCGTAAGAGGGATTGGCTGGGACGCGCCAGTAAAGTAAAGTAAAGTAAAGAGTTCTTCGCCGCCTTTGATTCCCGGGAATTCAGTATTTTTCTGCGGGCCCAAAGTTTGTGTGGGGAAATAAAAAGGCATTTGCATGGCTTTCTTAGTTAACCTTTTTTTTCCACCAGTCGACAGTTGGCACCGCCATCATTTTGCTGGGAAAACTAAACGGCGGTTTTTCTCCCCACCAGCCCCCTTTCCTCGATTTTCGGTTGAGCGCGCACAGTTTTCCCAACGGAAATGATGACATTTCGTCTAACTTTGTCGCCGCGGTGTGCAGTCGCATAGAAATTCTGGAGGTGTCGAAGAAATGGCACATTCCATACTGCGACGGTTGCGAAATGAAAATTTTCATTTTTGCCCAGGCGGCAGCGGAAATTGTTGAAATGTTTCTCAGTTCCTGAGTTTCTTATTCGACTTGCTTGCTGACTGGCTGGCGAAAAATTGAAATTGTGACCAAATGTTTTCGCCAACGCTTTTATTGATTTCCCCCACATACACTTACGAGTATTCTATTCCGTTTTTGCCCGGCGGAAGGAAGGTAGCAAAATGTTATTATCAATTATCATTTATTATTGCGGGGCATTTTTTCGCTTGGTCGATTATATTTTCTCTCCTTTGTGGCCATTTCCTCGAGACCGTTTTTGTGGCTCCTTTGGCCTTGTTTATTTCAGGACTCATAACTCGCTGATCGATGGTGTTTTCGTGGGTTATTTTGGGGATATTGGATAGAGGATACTGGATACTGGTAGCATATTGTGCGAATCCGTATTCAATTGTCTTTTACTTTCGTCGCTCGACAATAGAATTAAATCTGTTTTGACTAGCCAATGGTGTATTTTTCTAAGCAATTTCAGGCTTTTCTATTCCAAGAAACTTTTACCATTCAAGCGAATTGCCAAAGCCGTTGCTACCGAAAAATAAATAAACATAAGACATGTTTTCCCCATATTGTGTTTAATGTTGTTTTATCAAGTTTGTATTTTTATACACACGTTTACAAGGGTTTTGTAAATTCAAGTTTGTGTATATACGAGGGAAATGGGGTACGGGAATCTAATATATGCATATGAAAGCCAAGACGACAGCTGCTGAACAAATTTATATTGCTCGTATTTATGAAAGTCTCCTAGAGTCCCGTCCATACAAATGCAAATTGTGAGGGGCCGCCTTTTCAATGCCGGGCTTTAAACAAAAATTAGACCCTAATCAATGTAACTATTGTTTACTTTATATACAGCATCTGGCGAAAGGGACAGTCTTGTGTCTAGCTGCAGGCAACTTGAATGTCTTGAATGCTTGTTCGTTTCAAGATTGTAAGTTTTGTTTGCGCAACTTAAAAAGGGATATCTGAAGAGCTGACAAATTATATCAAATCGGATCTAGCTGATACTTATTATACACACAAAAAAACACGTCGCGGTCAAATCGATATGCGCATGGTAAATTTCTGGTATTGCATACGCATATCGTTTTTACTGAAATCTCTCTCTTTCTCTGGCTTAGAAAAAGGGAGGAGGAAGCAATGTGGCGACTTAAATTACGTGAGTGTGAGCGAGAAGTACAAACTCTCTCGCGCTAGCATATCAAATTGAGGTGCTCGCATATTAATTCGAAGTTGATTCCACATAACATCAAATCGATCATCGTTTTATATCAAGTTTTCTTTGGGTGTAGAGAACAGTTTAAGAGTAACTGCCAAGGTCAACTTGCTCAATAATTTACTGCTTTGTTTTTCAAAACGACACCCAGAACAAAACAAATCAGCACTACTATTTCACCATATAAACCATCCATTTCCCCAAATGAACCGAGTCGTTGACCATTTTCCGTTCTCAAACATGGACAAACGTCGCACTTACTAGTGATCACCCTGGGTGCAATTAGGATTTGAGTGTTCAATAACGATTTACACAAAGGCTGGTTGGCTCCTGGTCTCCAAGGGAACTGAGGGGCCAGCTACGTGCGAGCCGGGCAAATAAGCTTTAAAATGTTGCCATTCGTACGAATCGAGTTCGAACAAAACCGAATACCAATACGAATACGAATGGCAGGGCAAAAGTTGGCCAGCACGTATGGAATCTCGGTAACAAGAGTAGCAATTATAAGGGGCAGGGAGCAGTCCACATCCACCACCCAATCCAATCCAATCTAATCAGCTTCGGTCGAGAAGAATCTGTTTACAATATTGACAATTTTGTTTTGGGTGCCGGGCCGGAGACCTAAAACTAGAGGTTGAATCAAAAAGTTTCGTTTTTATGCTGGGTAAAAAGTTAAATTTGCATATTTTTTTCTGTGAGCCACTTGTCCTTTTTTTTGTTGCCAAGATGCCTCTTGCTGTTGGCCAATTTGTGGCCAAAGTGGAGCTGCTTGCAGAGTTAGGAACCCTGCCACATAAACACTTCTGTGCTGAATGCTATGAATAAATAATGAGCTTTGTCTTCCATCGCCGGCGAAGTGATGGTCCCAGCGTTGCATACTTTTAGGCGCATGGCAATGGCAATAGGCTCATGCAATATTTGTGTGCCATTTAAGAGGCTTCCGTGCATTACATCCTGAATTCGCAATTCCAAATCCTAGTGGATTGCACTCGGCCTAGGAGAGACTATTAAATAGCAATAAATCACTAAACATTTTTAGTTGCCCTTCGTCATATTTTAGGTGTTGGGAAAAATGGCCAAAAATATCAATGCAAAGGCAAACATATGTTTACATTTGTTCAAGACAAAATCACATTACCGCCTGCTCTTGCTGGAATCAAATTATGTTATTTTCATGAGCAGCCCGAAAGTATGCAAATATTTGCTAAGCCCAAACATTTGATGCGCCAACTCCTCGACATACGGAATGCTAAGGGAACGGAAAGCAAAGCTACAGCAACAATAAGGTAGCCAGGCAAAAAGGTCGTTAGATTGTTAACAAGTTCATAAAAAGACGGCTCACTCACACACATACACACAATTATAGGTGAAAGGAAAGTGGGGGGAGTGGGAAAGGAGCGCAGGACGAGGAGCCCGGCAAGGACTGCCTAAATACTATACGACGCGTCTCGTTGCGTATTTACAGAGCACTTTTTCCGTTTCTACTGCTGCTGCCTCTCAACAAGCAGCAGCAACAAAAATGCAAACAAATGTACACTGAGAGAAAGAATATGTAACAAACTCTTTTTATAGGGAAAAATTCGGAGAAATTATAAAACACCACATAATTTTTACTTCTTGGATTAGATTTTACCTTAAAAACTATAATATTGGTCTGCTTGCTATAATCTTAGTATAGTTCCCATCTTATGACAATAATAAGAATACATTAAGTCCAGTTTTTACCACCTAAAAATAATTACGGAGAATTTTATGTATCTGGAAAAAGCGTAACTTTTTAACTATGTAACATATGTAAATAAATAAAACTATAAGATATTAAGCCTAAGAAATATTAATATTGATATTTTAGAATATTTGTTTGGTTAAAAGTTTGTGGGATTTTTCTGCTTTTTACCATAGCATACTTTTTGACACCTTGAAAAAATTTTAAAAATGTCTAGAGATTTAGTAGAATATTTTTGATATAGTTATTATTATTAGATGTGAGAATTTTTATTTACTTTCTCAGTGCAGAACCGTGAACTGGGCGGTGAAGAGCAGAGTCGCTACTATGAATATAAGCATGGGTGAACTGAACTGAACTGAACTGAGCACGAGGAGCTCCTGCGGTTGTTTGCATTAGGCAATTGATGTTTATTATTTCTGGGGGCGGGTTTTGGAGGATCGGCGTCGCCGACAAA